TAATACCCATCTGATACCGTACATAGTTATTACAATATCTTTACATCCCCATGACTATTTTTATAACTGGCTATTTGCACTTCTTAATCCCTTCACCAAATTTAAGTTTATTTTATTATATTTTTTATTTTTATTTTTTTTAAATATAGCTTTATTGATTTCAGAGAGAGGAAGGGAGAGGGAGAGAGATACAGAAACATCAATGATGAGAGAGTCATTGATGGGCTGCCTCCTGCACGCCCCCTGCTGGGGATCAAGCCCGCAACCCAGGCATGGGCCCTGACCGGGAATCCAACCCTGATCTCCTGGATCCTAGGTCAATGCTCAACCACTGAGTCACACCTGGCTGGGCTAAGTTTATTTTTTATCTAAAAGAAAAAGAAGTAAGCTTTACTAATCATTAGCAAGCAGACTGAGCGGGGTGCCCTCGCCGGGTCTCTCCTGCAGCCGTCACCGGGTCTGCAGTGGGCAGGTGAGCTACCTGAGTTAGGGGTGGGGAGCTTCCTATTCGGAGAGTGGTGTGTGCTTTCTTTTAGTGCTCCATGCTGTGTTTATTTTTCAGTGTTCTATGCAGATTTCATATGCCTAGATAAACAGATTTACAGATTATGCTGCATGGATTTAATTTTCCTGACCTCCCCCTCCCCCCCAAAGCGAACAAGGGGTGTAACAGGATTCCTTCCAAGAAGCATGATTAAGATTACCAACAATCCTAATGATTTCACACACAGGTGAACAATCCAGGGATGAACTCTCAGGTTCAATGATAATTTAATCAGCACCCAGAGGGCATCAGCCGGCCAACAAGTTGAGAAAATCGCCAAAGTTCAAGAAAAACTCTTACCAGCAATGAATCCCTAACACTATTGAAGTGTATGCAGAGAAATGGTTAAGGTGGTAAATTTTATGTTGTGTGCATTTACCACCATTAAAAATAAAAATAAAAAAATAAAGGGGGGAAAGTAACAAAGCATATTCAACCGCATTATTTTCACTAAGGATTTTTGCACCACAAATAAATATTTGTAATATATTATTTACTTCATTTTTTAATTGCCCTTTTTACAGTTATCTTTTTGTATGTCTAATGATGGTCACACTAATTTGGTATATTGGCTCACATATGTAATTCATAAATAAATGCATATTCATAATTAGGGGTGCATGGTGAAAATATTTTTACTGCTAAGATTATGTGGCAAAAATATGGTTGATGTTTAGAGGAACTTTCCCACAGGTGGGCAAGGAGACATACTGAATTAAAGCACGTTTAGAAAAATGGGGAAAAACTTAAATGTCCATCAGCAGAGGAATGGGTCAAGTGGGTATAATTGAGCAATGGGATACAAATGGTTTAAATGAATGGATAATAACTACATGTGTATCAGCATGGGTAAATATCTTATTTTATTTAATTTTTAATCCTCATTGGAGGATATTTTTTTCCATTGCTTTTCAGAGAGAGTGGGAGGGGGAGAGAGAGAGAGAGAAAGGGAGCGGGGGAGAAAGAGAGAAACATCGATGTGAAAGAGACATATTGATTGGCTGCCTCCCACATGCTCAACTGGGGTGGGAATTGAGCCTGCAACCAACGTACGTGCCCTTGGCCAGAACTGAACCCTGGGCCCTTCAGTCCGCAGGCCGATGCTCTAACCACTGAGCTACTGGCTAGGGCATGGGTAAATATTTTAAACAATCTTAAGTGAAAAAGGCACACTGCAGAATGAAAAGTCTAACATGCAAAACAATGTGATATATTGTTTATGGATACACACACATGGATGGATACATACATATACACATGTTGTAATATGTATTACATACGTAGCAATATATATTATGTTTCAAAATATTCAAGGGGGAGATAAACACCAAATTCAGGAATTGTGGTTACCTCTGGGAAGAGAGGGAAGAAAATGAGATTGGAGGAAAGGTTTAAAGTAGGCTTAATTTCTTTAAAACAAACAAACAAAAAAAGATGCAAGGTAAATAAACAGCTCATCATTTTAAAATAAAACGTTTTCAAACTAGTCTCCCTGAGTTCTCCATCTCAGTGACAATCATCCTCACATCCCTTGTGTATCTTTCCAGAGATATCTTATGCACATTCAAGGGCACATAAATATATGAATTCCCCCTGCCCCATCTTCTTTTTAAACACAAATGGAAGCAAAAATTACATACTGTTCTGAGCCTCACTTTTTCCCTTAATAATGTATCTTATATTTTGTTACACATCAGTACATAAGGAGTTCCTCCATTTTTACAGCTGCACAAGACGTACTTTTTGTGGCTTTTTGAGCCAGTCTCCTATACATAGCATGTAGACTATTTCTGTCCTTTCACTACAATAAGCATCACTGCAATGAATATCCTTATAAAATGTCATTCTGCACAGACTTATGTATTATAATAAATTCACAGAGGTAGAAATGCTGGGTCTTTTCATTGCCCTCCAACAAGACTGTACCAATGTACTTCCTCTTCCAACATTTTCCCATGTACTGTAAGATTTTGAGCTGAGAAGCAAATGTGGTATCTCATCGAAAGTTTAATTTGCATATTTAAAAAATTATAAATGTGATAGCATCTTTTATAGTATAAAAAGCCATTTCGATTTTTTCTGTAAGCTTCCTGTCATTTGTCATTGTATGAATTTTTTTTGACCCATGAGCAATTACTTTTATAATAAAATAGCCAATGAGGATATATATTTTTTAAATGTAGGGGCTGGAGAGCCTTCACTCAGTTTTGTGAGAAGCTTGTGATGCCTTCAGAAACACTTCTGTGCATTGTAGCAATATCGATTTCCTGATTTTGATATTGTACTATAGTTATGTAAGACATTACCACGGGGGAAACTGGGTGAAGGTGCACAGGTCTCTATGTACTATTTGTGCAACTTCAGTGAGTCTGTAATTATTTCAAAATAAAAAGTAAAAAGCCCTAAAAAATTCTGTGCAACTTTTATGGTTGTGGGGGCTCTGCACTGACCTCAACTATGATCCTTGTGCTTTGATGGCTCTCATGCCTGTCAACTGACAAGCCCCACCTGTGAGACAGCGGCTGGGTTAGCAGATAGGGATACATCTGAAATGGGCAAATCTTTGGGGACTGACTCTGGCTTCTTACTCTATTACTGTCACATTCTAACTCAGTGAGAACACAGAAGTCATGGGGCTAATATTCGCACTATCTTGTATTTCTTTTCTTCCTTTTATTAGAGATTTTTTCTAAGAGTTTATTTCAGCCAAAACTGACAATGCCAGGAAGCAAAATCTTAAATGATCCCTCCTGTATTTCTACTGAGCTGTAGTGTTCCATGTCCATTTATTTACATTATCCCAATGATAATACGGGTAGAGAACTCTCAAGAGGCCCTTTGCAAGGTATACAAGCCCCTCCCTTTCTTTTTGTTGTTATCCCCTGAATATCTTCTTTCTGAACTCTGCTGCTCAAGCCATACATGATTCTCTGGAGGCCCCCTAAAAAAACCTTTGCACCCAGCTCCCTGCATCTGGATCTGCTTCCTTTCTCTTCCAGTCTTTTTGCCTAAAGAACTCCTACTTATTCTTCAAAAAAGTGCAAGCATCATCTCCCATCTCCACCGGAAGCTTTTCAAGACCCCCCACACCGGCAGCTTCTAACTCCACTCCAACAGGCAAATTTAACCTAATCTTCTAGGCATCCTACTGCAGCCTCCATTAGGGAAAGCTCCATTAACACATTTATCTCACTATATTGTCATTATTAGTTTAAACATGTCTATTCCCACTGGACTGAAGACCCTTTGAGGGCAGAAATTTTGTGACATTCATTTCTTTGTATTTTCAGTGCCTAAGAGCAATGACATGCTGTGGGTAATCAGTAAATATTTAGTGAATGAAGGAATCAGGCCAGAGACCTGCCAGCTTTCTCTGTAGTTCAGGGAAAGCCAACTCAGATTCTTGGGTAATTCATTTCAGCCCAGGGCCAGGTGTTTTGCAGAGTTAGCAGAGGCTCTGGCTGCTGTCCTCAAGCACGTCTCTGGTGAGGTTTCCTGCTGTTGTGTCACTCCATGTCTGTTACCTTATTTTCAATAAATGGACAATAAAAGCATCTATCTCCTCATAGGGTTGTTGGAAGCATTACAAGAGATAATGCATCAAAAGCTCTTAGCACAGTGTCTGGCAAAGGATAAAGAAGGCTCCTCAAAGATATTCCTGTGTGTTGAATGACTAAGTGAAAGAAATGACTTGAGGTTCCCTATTCGTTTATTGAGCACCTACTATATGTCGGGTTCTGCGTTAAGTACACCATGCTAAGTGCAGAGAAGCAATCGCAACACACTGCAACGGTCTTAACATCGGTGTCAGGGAGTCCACGAAGATTTCCTGAAGTTTGAGTATGGACAGGGGAGGAGCTTGGAAAGATGGGTATTGCAGGCACAGTCAGCAGATTCCCGCTTGATGGCTGTGTGGGAGTGTGCACTGAAGGGCAGCTCCATGAGGTGGGCCGAAGCGCTGCAATACAAGTGGGGTTCCAGTCCTGTTTAGTTATTAGCTGCGTGACTTTGGACAAGTTATTGAACCTCTCTGAACTTCTCCAACTTTAAAATAGTCTGTTAAGAATACCCACCTTGCCCGGCCGGGAGTGGCTCAGCGGTTGAGCGTAGACCTAGGATCCAGGCGATCAGGGTTCGATTCCCGGTCAGGGCACATGTTTCTGTCTCTCTCCCCCTCTCCTTTCCTCTCTCTGAAATCAATAAAATATATTAAAAAAAAAAAAGAAAGAATACCCACCTGCCAGGGTGCTTGAGAGACCACGTGACCCTGCGTAAGCCCAGATGAGCTCTATTTAGCTACAAAAGGCCCAGGCGAGTCACTATGCGACTACTGGGTTCTCAGCTTCGGTGCACAGGAGCGTGGGTTTCTTCTCTGAGCATGCGCAGTGGGCCCGCGGCGCGGCCCGTCAGGCACTGCGGTAGGCGCCCTAGGGGCTGGCAGGACCCTGACCCCAAGATGGCGGCGCCCAGTGAAGTGGACGCACCTGCCTCCGGCGAAGACGGTGGCGAGGGCAGCGGCTTTGGGTCGTGGCTAGATGGACGGCTGGAGGCGCTGGGAGTGGACCGAGCTGTTTACGGCGCCTACATCCTGGGTGTCCTGCAGGAGGAGGAGGAAGAAGAGAAGCTGGACGCTCTGCAGGGTATTCTCTCAGCTTTCCTGGTGAGAAGCCCGGACTCATTTCTCGAGCCTCTTGCCAGCCCGTCAGTACTTTGAATCCCCGTTCCCCTATCCTGTGTCCCAGAGGATTAGTGGAGAGGAATACTCTTCTGAGTTCTGGGCCTAAGGGAAGGGGGTTACTTCTTTACCCTGGGTTTGGGGAACCGGGAAGGTTGTAGGTGCGTAGAGAGGAATGGCTTTGCCCACTCTCTCGGATGCCTGTGGGTGAGTATTTTTCGGAAGTCGTTGAAATGTCTAAATGAGAGTTTTGTCGTAAACGTCTAACGACCAGTTTCATTGCCATCCGTTGACAGTGTTCAGAGGGGGGAATAAAGTGCTCTGGGATGCCTCTGTCCTTTAAGAGGCAGTGCCCAGGACTGTCCCGTGACAAAAGCTTCTCTATTCCTATTTTGGAGGTAGGAATCCAAAAAAAGTAAGCTCGTCGTAGAGGTCTTTTCATGCCTAAGCAGAATTGAAGCAAATATTGTGCTTTATTCTGTATAGTATGTAGAAATGCAGTAGTCATTGTTGTGTGTGTGGTGGGGGGAGTAGGAGATCAGAGTTTTGAAGAAGAAAGATAAACTTGGCATTTAGCTTCTTAGAGGCAGATTCAAGAATTCAGAAATGTGTATTTTAATCTGTGTTTAAGTAGTAAGTCACCAAATTGTCCACTTTTCCTGATCATTCCTGCTGCCTTCATCTCCACTAACATTTACTTGGTGAAAGGGTCATTTATTGATTGGGCACATGGTTGAAATATAACACTAGTGCAGCTGTCCCAGGACCTCCTGGCAAGGGCCCCCAGAGCATGCTCTGGTGACACTGACCTATATTTGGGAAAGCCTTAACATAGCTTGTGATGGAGCTCCTAAGTTCAGTAGAAATACAACACAGTGGAATAAATTCTTTGTAGGTTGTAGAGTGAAAGAGTAGGACGCAAGCAATTCAAGTTAGTTTTTATGTCCAGCTGGGAAGTTTCTAAAGAGTCTATGAAAAAGAAATTGCAGTAACTTGGCTACGCATTGGTACCAACTCCTTGACCTATTTTTTTCATAGTGTCATCATTTGGAGCTGTGTGTCTGCTGATAAAGACAGGCATGAATTTGCCTTAGACTATTAAAACTCTTGGCATGAAGAGTGATAACCCTTGCATACCGAGCTAAGTATATTGGCCAAAGAAGATTTCACAGAGGAGAAAGGTTTTGACTTAGGCAACAGATTTTTGCTCCAAAAGAATAAGGAAGACTGCCCTGAGTTGGTGGGAATCCTTTCCCCTGGATCTTGGCAGGATGGAGTGGGCGCTCTTGACCTAGCAGGTGTGGATTCTGGGACTCACACAAGGATTACTTCTGTGTCTGGAGCTTCAGAAAAGAAACATACTCTGTTCTGTGACTTCCAAATCCTCTTTGTGGTTTGTTCTCATCACCAGCTGTGCCCTCTGCATAGGCTTTGTTCAGGTGAGGGCTCTCTAGGAAGTTAATTAATTGGTCTGCTTTTCCAACTAGGAAGAAGATTCCCTCCTTAACATCTGCAAGGAGATTGTGGAACGATGGTCAGAAACTCAGAATGTTGTCACCAAAGTGAAAAAAGAAGGTAGAGTTGGAGTTCTGATGTCTAACCTCCATTGCCTTTTCCAATAACCTTTACTATACAGCTCTCAGGGAAAGAGTTTTTAGTTTTCTTTGTTGAATACTCATTTTCCCTAAGGTAATTTAACCTGGCAAACACCCAGCAGCTTTAACTATTTAACTGAATATTGGTTTCCTTTTCCCTTTTCTACTTTTTCACTTCAGCTGACTACAATTACCTTCATTGTGGCTTAGGCTTTTTTCCTTTTCACCCTCTTCCCACTGCCCCTTGTAGATTTGCATTGCGGGTATAGGGTCACCTATATTTCCCCACCTTCCACGTTTTTAGAGTCTCATTTCATAGTGCAAACTGTTATTGGTCTTTTGCTTTAACTAAAACCCTTCACCCTTTAAAAGGAAAGAGAAGTGAGTGAATATACTCAGCATTAGGATGCAGAAAACTCAAGTCATTAAAGCCAAACTTGAAGAGAATCTATTCTAAACTATCTACATTGGTAGTTCTCAGTTTTGGCTATATTTTAGCATCACTTGATTTACTTTTAAAAATGCTAGTGCCTGGGCCACACCATAAACCAATTATATAAGCATCTTTGGCATTGAGGCTCAGGTATTGGTATTTTTTTAAAAGCTCCCCCAGATGATTCTGATGTTCAGCCAGGCATGAGAACCACTTCTTGACACTATTGCCCTCTTCTTTGAGAATGGAGAACTTAACACCTTGTTGACCAGTTATTTAGAACCAGAACTCTCCCATACAGCTGGCTACTTTGGTCAGCAAGGTGTTTAAAATTATGGTACTTAAATTAATGTAAGTGCAGACACAAGTTATCTCGTGACCAGTCAGCAACGTTTGGACGCAGAAACACATGTATACTTGTGACCAGTCAGCATTAATTAATAGTTGATTTTAGTATAAAACAATCTAATAACTTCACCTGGCATAATTATCAACATGAAAGGAACCAAATTAAGTTGATTCTAGATTCCTTCTTAGGTTTCTGGGGTTGAGAGGGGGAAAAGTTGCATGTTTGGAGACTTAATTTCCTACAGTTCTGACCCAGTGCTTTTCAAGCTTTTTTTTTTTTTTTTTTTTTAAAGCAGCAGAACTTCAATATATAAAACAAGTAGAAGCAGGGCTACTCTGATTGAAGACAGATACAAGATCTAAAGTCTGGCCTGCATGGCCTTTTCTTACCTTTCTCTTTGGTACCTCCTTTTAGCCCCAGGGCTCTAAGGAGTCAGCAGATTGCTTTTTCTCCAAGCATTGCCTGGGTGAACTAGTGGTCTTGTGAGCTTGTTTTTTCTCACATACAACCTTGTTGTCCCTCTCTCCCCTTCCACCACCTCCCAGATGAGATACAAGCCATTGCTACCCTAATTGAGAAACAAGCACAGATTGTGGTGAAGCCCAGGATGGTGTCAGAAGAAGAGAAGCAGAGAAAAGCTGCCCTCCTGGCCCAGTATGCTGATGTGACAGATGAAGAGGAATATCCTTTTTGTTTTGTTTTTTTAAAATATCTTTATTGATTTCAGAGAGAGGAAAGGAGAGGGAGAGAGAGAGATAGAAACATCAATGATGAGAGAGTCATTGATTGGCTGCTTCCTGCATGCCCCCAACTGGGGATCGAGCCCGCAACCCGGGCATGTGCCCTGACCGGGAATTGAACCCCGATCACCTGGATCATAGGTCGATGCTCAACCGCTGAGCCATGCCCGGCCGGGCGGAATATCCTTTTTGGAGTCTTGGCACCATTTCCTGAGGCTCAAGCCAGAAGCATTTGCTGGTTTCCAGTGAGCTTTGGGAGGCTGCCAATCCCCCTCTATAGCTTAATTTTCTCTAAAGTGGCAGTGATCTGTGACCCTTTGTGGGTGTGAGGAATGAAGTTGGAATAGTTCACACTGGACTTAAATTTTTCAACACGTAATCAAGTTTGTTTCTGAAAACTTCAACATAAAACCAATAATGCCTTAATAATGGACCACTTATATTGTACTTTTAGAAAATAAAATATAGCTGTGATTCTTTACCTTTCTTTGCAGTACCATGTAACTTACATCTTTATAGTCTTTCCCAGTTGATAAGGAAACTGATGCACTGAGAGATGAATGGGTGATCAGAGATATTCATATAATTAGTGGCAAAACCAGGACTAGAACCTGTATATTTTGGTGTGAAGGATTCCCAAATTTGGAGTAGTTTCTTTTGAATCTTTAAAAAAAAAATATTCCATTGACTACATAATTAAAAATGAGACTGAACCCCCAAGTAACACCAGGATAAATCTGGAATTTGAGTGGGTACAGTGTAAAAAGTGTTGCTGGTAGGAGCAGTTTTGGTTCCCTGTGACATTGACATTTGTTTAGGAAATGCTTAGTTTACTGAACCCTCTTGAATGGAGTATACATCATACCAGAAATGTCAGCTGTTTAATCATGAGTTTACGAAAGAATTCTTAGGCTCTTTTGGGCCAACTTCTCTTCTACTTTTTCCTCATGATTTTTCTTGCCAGGGTTGGCAGAACTATGTTTCTGATTATAAAATCTCATTTCTTGGGCTAAAGAGTGTTTTAAGCAGTGGTTCTCTGGGGGACTTGCTAAAACACAGATTGCTGGGCTCTAGCTCCTAGAGTTTCTGATTTAGTAGATCCAGAATGAGGCCCAAGAATATGCATTTCTAACAAATTCCCAGGGAGTTCTGGGAGCCACACTTTGAGAACCACTGTTTTAGAGATTATCTTGCCATCCCCTGGCTTCCAGGGAATATGGCAGTCCACTCAGATGAGCTTAAGTTTCTTGTCAGCCTCCAAGAGATAAGGATCTTATGGAAGCTCTAAACAACGTTCCCTAAGTTGAGACTTCTGAAGATGACTCTCCTGGGTTTACTACCACATCTCTGACAGTGTCCTTCCATTCATTGTGCCGTTTCTACCCATCAGTTTGTTGAATGTTTTCTTATGTTGGGCTGAGATATGCTAACCTTTGTTTTTCATCCGATTTTCCTTAACATCACTTACCGAAGCAGATGAGAAGGATGATTCAGGTGCCACCACAATGAACATTGGTTCTGACAAATGTATCCTTCTCTGTGTCCATCCCCATGTACTTCTCCACAGAATCATCTTGAGGATCAGTTTTTATTTTGCTGTCATTGGTGGGGGCTCTCCACCTCCAGGAACTCATGTCAGGCTAGCATTGTGAGCCCCATTTGTAGTACAGCCCTAAGTGGTCAATTTAGCAAGAACTTTTCCCCAAAGAGACCTGTCAACATGTACTGTGAAGGGTCAGCTTAGAGGAAGTATTTCTAAGGGAAAATAGTCTGTAATCTCTGCATATAGCACTGGATTTTCTAGCACTATGGAAGCAATTAAAATAATATTGAAGTTTTGGTCTCTGTCCTCAAAGACCTTATCATTTGTTGGAAAGAGAACACAAACACCAAATGCTTTTAAGCTAAAAATACAGGTGTGGGCAAAAGTAGGTTTACAGTTTTGAGTATGTGAAACAGAGTTTATTTTTTTAATCCTTACCTAAGGATATGTTTTTATTGATTTTAGGGAAAGAGGGAGGGAGGGAGGGAAACATCGATGTGAGAGAGACATCGATTGGCCGCCTCCTGACAGGGCCCAGAGATCGAACCTGCAACCCAGGTACGTGGCCTTGACTTGGAATCAAACCCGAGATCCTTCAGTGTGTGGGCCAACACTGTAACCACAGAGCCACACTGACCAGGGCAGGGCAGAAAAAATTGTGTTTTAAGAGTAGAGAGGAGCTTGTCTGGTAGTAACAGGTTATGTTTTTAAAGTCATAAGAAATGAGGGGTAAAGTTTTTGGCTGGATATTTTCTAACTGTGGCTAAACTTACTATTTTATAAATTCAGAGTTTGTGGTTAATAGAACATGGATTCATTAAAGCTTTAGTGGTCTAGGAAAACAAATTGATATAGTAAGATTAAACAACTTATTCTTTTCAAGCATTTTAACAGTGCCAAGTACATAATTTTGCCACTTATATTAATACTCTGTTCACTAAAATTAGCATGAATACTCCAACAGTATTCTGCCATTGAATGATATAAGTACTTATTCTAGAATGAAATTTCTTTTTTTTTAAAAAAAAATATATTTTTATTGATTTTAGAGAGAGGAAGGGAGAGGAAGAGGGAGAGAGAAACATCAACAATAAAAGATAATCATTGATTGGCTGTCTCCTGCACATCCCCTGCTGGGGATGGAGCCCGCAACCCGGGCATGTGCCCTGACCGGGAATCAAACAGATCTGGATCACAGTCGATGCTCAACCGCTGAGCCACGCCAGCTATGCAGTGACATTTTATTTTCATAAAATATTTAGATTTAGATCAGTCTCAATGAGATTTTTATTGAGGGTTAGTTTTTAACTTGCGTAATGGTAATTCTAGAATTTCCTATTAGACCAAAGATAAACATAAGAATTTAAAAAACAAACAAACTAGGAATAGGTAGAAAGTTTTCAAGACTCGGCATGTAGAGCGTGGACAGCAAGAATGAAGAGAAGGAGCAGGAGCTGGGCCTGTGTGACCTCTACCCTATCCCTTAACTCATTGTAGTCCTGTTCCGAAATACCAATGTGGAAGATGTCCTCAATGCCCGGAAACTGGAGCGAGACTCGCTTCGGGATGAGTCCCAGAGGAAGAAGGAGCAGGACAAGCTGCAGAGGGAGAAGGACAAACTAGCCAAGCAGGAGCGCAAGGAAAAGGAAAAGAAAAGGACACAAAGAGGGGAACGAAAGCGATAACCGTGGTCAACTCTCTGCTTCCTCCTCATGAACTGACCCGAGGGAGAACTGGTTGTGCACATGTGTATTTAAGAGAAATGGGAGGACGTTGCAAAGTGGTTTCTCAAGGCATTTCCCCTCGTTTACGTGGTCAAAAGGAAAATCCCAAACACTTCTAATAAGATGTGCCATGTCTCTGTGCTGTGGGTAATCAGATTGTTGTAGTTGATACCTGTACCAAAGATCTGGAAGGGGAGCAACCTTTATATTTTAGTACCGAAGTCCTGTGCTCCTTTTGGCCACTTTCAAAAGTCTTCCCTCACCTTGGGTAAACCCAGGAATATTCAGAAAGCTGACAGTTTTTATCCTGAAGGAGCAGAATCATGACCACTCCTTCCCTGAGATGAAATGTGGGAGTGTAAATTGCTTCAGAAGTACTGTTTACCCCTAAATGTATTGTTTTAAGACTCAAGTAGAAAGCTAATGAAGAGCCCACCTGGATCCAGATTTTATGTTGCATGGCAACAAACTAGGAAAATGAGAATTATTTGATGGATATTCTAGATTTGAGAATTTTTTTTTTTAAAAGTTCACCCTATGGGAGGAAAGGAAGTATCTTTTTTAAGTAGAGATAGTTAACATTTTTCCTCATTTAGGTTGTGATTTTAAGAAGGATGTGTCAGTATTGTGTGCAAGGATATCATTGTTATCTAGATTCCTCTTGATTGCTAGTAAGAGATTTTAATCTTGTTTTGCCCTAAAACATGAGTATAAAGACCTGATAATTACAGGTTTAGAGGAAATGGAGGAACTTCCTTTTAAGGAAGAGACACTGGAAATCTCTGCTAACAAAGATATTTAAGAGTGTACATAGTAGGTGCTCAACAAATTGAATGAGTGAGTGAATGGGAAAATTGCTTGGGAGAGTCAAAAGTGAGCAGGAACTCTCCATTTCTACTTTTGTCACAAGCGACAGTTTTAAATCAGGCTTTTCTCTTCTTCAGGCAACAGACTGTCAAGAAGCCTGAAGAGAGCAATTTCTCGGACAAAACAAAGTAGGTATTTTATGCCAGGGGTCAGCAAATTACTGCCTGCAGGACAAATTTGGCCCAGTCTGGTTTTGTATGGTGCAAGCTAACAATGGATTTTATGTTTTTAAAGGTTTAATGAATATATGACAGAGACCTTATGTGGCTTGGAAAGCCTAAAATATTTACTATCTGGCCCTTTGGAGAAAAAGTTTGCCAACCTCTATTTTATACCATTGTGATTAACAAAAGTTTTGACTTTTGTGCAGAAGGTAAAAAAGCATGGTTAAGGAAAAGATGTTACCACTATACACTCCTATAACCGTGGCATTGGCAAAATTTTAAAAAATAACCACCTTTTTAAAAAATAAACACTATTTAAATCAGTGTCTTCTGATTTATTCTGATTCCTTTCAGCTACCTATGGAGATGAATTCTGTGCTTAGCAATGTGTTGAATTTTTTGTGCTTTGTTTTGCTTAGCCCTAATAATCTCTTCTACCAGTAGAACTTCCTGAAATCCATAAATTCTCTGCCTCAGTTTTCCTTTCTGTGAGTTTGGGTATTAGATCAGAAAGATTACCTTGTTTTTTTGAAAGTCAGTAAACTGGCTTTGGAGTCCTGTTGGAGTCTTAAAGCTTTATGTGGTAGTAGCAATAGGCTGTGTCTACAGATAGCATGTGAGAGTCTATTTTAATTTAGTAAATCCTTATTTTGGATTTTTGGTTGGTCCTCACCTTGATTTGCAGATTATCCATGGACCCCTGACGGGAGTTATTTCAATCTGCTGTAACAGCAGTCCTTTCTTCTGGGACTCTATTATGGATGTTGCATTAGTGTGGTGTTTATGATCTCTGGTGTTTGGCTGTATGGCCAGTCTTTTTGTCTTGTTTGCTAGCTCATATCTGCTCCTTAAAGTGGTATAGTTTGGCTATAGCACATGGCATGTTGCTGTTTGAGTTTTTTGTGTGGAGTTGAGCAGAAGCTTCCATGGTTTTTGATTAGAGCCCCAGGGCTGGCAGTTTTTGGAACCTGTTAATGTCTTTTGGCGCAGTGTATGTTAAACAGAAAAAAAAGATCAGCTCATTAGGTTTTGAGTTAAGTTTATTCACTTAACTCAGGTGCTAATAATAAATCCTTTATGTCTAAAGTGTTCAGTATTGCAAAGGACAAATTTTAGACATCACATATGGTATGATTGATACTTTAAACCACATTCGGGATTTCAGCCATAACATTAATTCTCAACTTTCTAAAACTTTACAATAGCAGATTATTCAAATGGAAGAACACTGATATAATTCAAGGTAGTTTTCAGCCATCTTTATATAAAATGCTTTTTCTGTTTTTTTAAAAAAAATTTGAGTATGCCAAATTCTTTTGGATTAGAAATGATGGGAGCATTAGTTTTATTAGTTTCAACTACAAGTCTTATGTGATATTTAGTTTATAAGGTTTTCATGGGTAGTAATTCAGAAGTATAATACATAAGAACCGTCCATTAACGGGTATACTATAGAAAGGGACAACCAACTAATTTGAGAACTATCTACAGGGTGACAGTTAATGAAACTTCAAAGAATTTTTATGTTAATTTATGTTAATTTTTGTTAATAGACTAATGTTTCATTTCTGACCACTGCCATGTCAAAGCTTCCCTAGAATTTTTACCCTAGTTTGCCTGGATTAGCATGAACACAGAGCAACAGTTTCATCTTTGAAGGAGGTAAGGTTAGATCCAAGGATATCTGAATGGCATTGATTCATCTACCAACATTATTACTTATGTGCTAATAGTAATGAAATTTAAAACTTAGCACCAGTTTTTATCAGTTAAATGAAATTTGGTTTTCTAACATGAGTGACTTTTAAGGTTAGAAACTAATACAAATGTAAAAAATGAAACCAGTTATTTTCAACAAAATAATTTATTTTCTTTTCCTGAGAGACTAAATTAGTACAATATTTGTTATTATAACATCCAACATGTCTTATGTCAAACTTAACCACTTTCTATGCAGTGACTGTGGTGGGGTGATCTCTTTCATTTGACTACCTTCAATGTAATTCATTTGGTAGTTCTAAGGCATATCAATGATCAAAATGTTTCTCCCCACAGTTACTCCTGAATTCTCTCAATCAGTTTCTTCCGCACATCATCTAAAGAAAATTTATGTGGTGTGATTACACTCTTTTTTAATACCAGGATTTCTAAAACTAGGAAAAACACCAACATTTAAAACATCAGTGTTTCTAGTCAAGGATAGTTCAATTAAATTTCATCAGTACATTATATCATAGTTTAACTCATGCTAGAAATGTTAAAGCCCAAGATCTGAGTCACATAATATCAACATTTCATATTAATGAATAAATTACTTGGGTTCCATACAAAGATATTAAGTGATGAGAAACAGAAAAAGCCAAGCTTTCAAGAGCTCTTTTAAAAAAATACGGAAGCAAACTAATGAACACAACTACACAAAATACACACTAACCAATTGCAAACTAAACTAGTTAAAGATTAACCTTAAAAAAATACATTTTAAAACTTCGTGATACCCTCATAAAAGGCAGCAAACTAAGGGTATTACAACAAGTCATTATTTTAGTTACTGTGCATCAAATCTAAAAGATCCAGATAAAGGAAATGTTTTGTTTCGATTCAATTTAAACACTTTAAAATTGGAAATATTTAATAATTGATAGTATAATTAAGTTTTAACAATATACACAAATGATTTGAACAGCTTTTATATTCAGTAACTTGCATGGTTTTTACACTGGCACTTTTATCACTAATTTAGGAGAATCAGATGCATTTCCCTCCATATACTTAGGCACTAAGATTTCAAATTATAAATATGGTAGTAGTTTAAATATTAAAATTTTACATGAATATTGGGTTCATTCTTGTTTTCCTTTGTTTCCTAGGTATTATCCAGTTTTGTAAGGAAAACACTTTTATATCACAATCAAAACTTGTCTCGGTTACTAGACTGTAGCCATAATTGGGTTACAGTCATTTAGATTCATTATTTGGAATTATACTTACTAAGGCAGACCTAAATGAAACTTATCTTCTAGAAGAATTTCACATTTGCATTTACCTGCACTGCAGAATGGGTTTAAGCAATATTTTAGCTGTTAGGAAATATTTAATTTACTTAAACTTATCTTTGACTACTCAGAACTCCTACAGTAGTCAACTTTCCCTTTGAGTTCACTTTAAACTATATCTGATTCATTCCAAATAGATTTTTAAATAGAAGTTAGACTTCATTAAGGTATTAAACTCTAAATCTGAAAAAAATGCATTGAAATTTTCAAGTTTGACAAGTTCATTAAAATTGTTGAGCATGTCTTGATATATTTACTTATCAGCTTTTTATTCTTTCTGCTTGGCATTTCCTTAATGTTTGTTTGCATCACCTCTCTGGTTCATTGGATTGCTACTATTTATGCTTTCATGGACTTTATCTTCACAGTTTACTATATCTTGTAAAGCCTTTTCCACATCCGTTTGGCCAGCTGTATTGGCTGTTTTTGGCAAAGTCATCTGCAGTGCACACCACAGAGTAGTGCGTGCCTTCCGAGTAGCCACACACATCTCTTTAATTGCTGCAGCAAGGGCAAAAACATCTGTAAAAGAAACATTTAGAGCCAGTTTACATTAGATACCATTTAAGTTTCCCTTAACCCTTAAAGTGCAGTACTGAGTTACCAAATGATCAAACATTATTTTTCTAAAAGGATAGGTATTGACTGTTAACCAAAGTTCTTGACTTAATAATACATATTTAAAAGTGTTGACATTTTAAATGAATTCAGTTAAAGAAACAGATCCAGGTACTTTTGGAGTAGATTATGTGGTCATCATTTACCAATTTATTCTTTAAATAAGTGTAAACCTTAGAATGCCAACCTTTTAACCTTAGAATCTGATTTTATTAACATTCAAACTATCTCACTGCCTTATCAAAAGAATATGCATTAATATTTGTACCTCTGTCATCTTGGCATCTAGGAACTCCTTGCTTTTGACGATTTGAAGCATTAACAATTTCATCCTTTCTACGTGACTGTACAATGTGAATGGACTCCAAGTGTCTATCAAGAGCAGTAGAGATATTGGCATGAAGGGGAGAGCTTCGAAGACGTTCCATTTTGCCTAGTAAAGTTACAACCTGAGAGAAAGATTTTAAATTTTGATAAGGCATGTAAGCACATTGCCCTGTCATTAACTTAAGGAAAAACAAATCTTCAGTGAAGCAAAATAGACATGAGAGCAATAATATTCCATAAATAATTGAATGCTTATTGTGTCCTGACACCATGCTAGGGGAAACAAAGATGGAGCATCAGTCTTTTATACCTTCTTGTATCTGTTAATTCTAAAAGCTTTCAGTTAATCAGTTAATGGGAATAAAAAACACTGAAAAAGTCAATCAAGCATTCCCATGTAAGTGCAAATATAAGATCCAACACTGTTTTTGGCAAATAGTGTTATTAGGAGGTATTGTTATGGAAAGGGGAAAAAAATATGCTAAAAGGGAGAAGTCCTAGACTGATTAATCCTGACTTCAGCAAGTCCTTCGTGGGCCTCCAGTGTTTTCCTTTTGGAAATCAGAAACATTCAGATGAATACCAACCTAGTGGTTAGTTTTAAGAATCCATAATCCAAAAAATACTTAAATTTATGTTGAGATAATAAATCCTATAATTAATAGAACTGCTAAGAAAAATTAGGAAGTTTCTCAATTTTCTGGTTAATTAAGCTTTTATAAGGCACTGATAGATCAGTCAGGGGAGTATGTTTCATATTTCTAACTTGTTTCAAATTCTAACCTTGGAAGGTGTAAGGAAAGAGAACTTTTTAAATAATTGCCCTTGGGAATTAAATGATTCAAAATTGCCTTGGCCTTTGTGGCTCAGTTAGTTGGGCATCGTCCTACACTCCGAAGGGTTACCATTTTGATTCCCTGTCAGGGCACGTGCCCGGGTTTTGGGTTTGATCCTGGTGGGGTGTGCCGGAGGCAGCTGATATTTCACTCTCACCTCGATGTTTCTCTCCCTCTCCCTTTCTCTAAAAATCAATAAAAATAAATCTTTAAAAGTTGCATAAGCCTTGCTGTTCAGTGAGTGGAAGGAGTAGTAAAATACCTCTCAAGAAGCTGAAGGTACCTGAATGAATGCCTCTACCCTCACATTCATATCAAGTTTTCTTGGAATAAATATATGCCAGTTTAGGCTGATGGAGAAAACAAAAGTATACAATATTAAGCATTTTCCTCCCAATTGTACAACCAGCTAGCTCTTTGAAAGGATAACAACAGAAAAAACATCAAATATTCCAATGAACTATCAATTACATATTTTTAAAATAAGAATCATTTTGAATAAGTGATAAGTGTAAAAAATGAAATTTGCATCAGTGATTTTTAATAAACTTTTAAAAGATTTCAGAATTCTATAAAACTAGCAAGCTAGAAAGTAGTACATGTGAAAATATTTTTGCCCTTTGTATATTATTGATCTAATGTTCCTAAATATAAAGTTATAACAGCTATAAGCATAACCTAACTTAATGTGACACATTACCAAAGCTGGTAAAAGTGTATTTCTTAACATCCACAGTTTGCAATCCTTTGAATTACTGCTGAGAAATGTATTACTGAGAAAAAGGAATTTTAACTTGGAACAGTTTTAAGAAAATATAATAAAAGACTGAAATTTTTATTAACATAATATCTGGCTGTAATACATGTCAGTATCTGACTAAAGCATTGATAAATTTCATTGTACAGATTTACAAATTTGATAAAAGAATCTCAACTGACCAAGGCTGAAAGCTAGGTAAAATCAATATTTTCCACTAAAACAGTTCATATCTATATTTTAAAAACAGCATGGTACAAGTAAGAAACCGATGTTCAATAAAATAGACTGTTACGTTGATTTTTTCTAATTCCTAAAGTGGCTTTTGTTCTATTGTAGAAGCAACCTGTTCCACTGCATGATTTTTCTCAGGAAATCATGAAATTTTACTTGGAAAACTGACTTTTTAAGAGGAATATCAAAAAAGAAAAACATTTACCCTACTCTATTAAAGTTGATTAGAAAATCCTGAAATTACAAAAGAAATAATAGGTAATCATTTATTAAATTACAAAAGGACTTAATATCAGTATTTTATACATTTTATTTGAAGTGATACACTCCTTTCCAAAAACAAGGCTATTTTATAAAATTATGCATACTTACATACTTCAGTTTATTAGTGTTTAATACACTGCTGTATATACTTGTTTGTTGAATAACTTAAGAGTGCAGGCTTAAGAAAATGAAATATAATTCCCTATTAATTTACCATCCTGTGTAATGCAAGCACAGCTTGCTCATCAAGCTAGAAAACAAATGTTTGTGACTAAGAAATGGGACTTTCCCTATAAATAATATTCAAAATAATTTTGCTTTAAAAAAATTCTTTCTGTTGAGGATTAGCTCCAGTGCCAATTAGGGTTTGAAGAGGAACCATTTAAGTCATTAAACCTACCTTTTCAATAATTGAGTGGGGCTATTTTCCCTTTCCTAAATATTAATCACAGTTCTAGGACCAAACATGGAAAAGAATATACTTCAAAGAGTTACACAGAAATGTGATCTTAAAATCCTTTAGAATTCTTACTTACTGAAATGTTATAAAAATTTATCAAGCAATTTAAAAGTCCACTATTGGAAGTTTTTATAGCTTACTCTGGCTTGTTCTCGAAGTTCATCCACAATTAAGCGGTCAACCCTAGATGGGTTGGAAGTCAGCCTTGGAATTGGAGTATTGTTAGTACTGGATACTTTTTTTCCTGGGTAATTCTTGGCAAGGGCCAATTCAGTCTGTAAAAAAATTATATAATTTTTAGATGGCGAATTTTCCAAATATGATTCAGTTGTAATATCTCTTAGGCTTAAGCAATAAATTGAAAATTACTCCTTTAAGTAATTCTGTTTTGGTATCGAAAGGCAGCAAATACAAACCACTGTATTTTTCTGTCATATTTAATACAAATAAAATACCTGAACACTCCAACAGTTTAATACTTTAAAAATTCAAAGAAGTTAACTTTAACCCATTAAGAAAAAACTCTACTTCATTGGCAAAATAAATTTTACATTGAGTAACAATTTTTTTAACCTCGAGCTTTTTAGCCATTTTTCCCCTTACATATTTATTTTTATTTTAAACTTTTTATTGGTGATTACAGATGTTTCCATTTCCCCCTCCCCCCCAGCTCTTTCAGTCTTTCAGTCACCTAATTAATCCCTTCTAGTCATAGACTTAACAAATACTGCCTGTTAGAGACTAATTCAGCTTAGAAATAAGACAAGTACTCAAAGCACACTAAGGTAAACAAAATGAAGATGCAGGGGACATACTAAGTTACTCCTAACTGGATAGCTTTGTGTTACCTTTTTTCTCTCCTTTTCTAATGCTCTCCATTGTTCATAGCACTCTTCTAGACGAATATGAAGTTCACTGGCCGGTCCACTACGGGTTTTAATTGGTCTTTGAAATCCAAAAGTTGGCACGAAACCAGAAAAGGAATTATCACCATACATCATATCATTAAAATAAGGGTATAAATGGCTTAAATCATCATAAGAAAACAAATCATAGGAATCCAACAGTGGAACAACTGAATGGCCAAATGGATGGGTGGATCTTAGGGGAAACCCATTTGAACCAAGTTGTTGAAAACTCTGATTATGCCTTAAATCTCCCATCATATAATTAGAAAAGCATGACGCCTGTGTGCGATTCACACGGCTATTAATATTGTTGTCTCCACTTCCCTGTCTGTGGCTATTAAAATGACTCTGTGCCTCCAACAGATCTTGATACGTATTTTGAGATAAGCCATCTAAATGCTTTGGACCTTCCTCAGGATCATAATGTCCACTCTGGGGCTTTGTCTGAAAATTATGTTTGTTTACATTTTCAATGATCCCATACTGTTGAGCTGAGTAGTTATCACAAAATCCGTTTGGCTGCTTTATTTTTTTATCAGTAACCAATTCAAAGAGATTTTCTTCCGCAGTCTTTGTCAGTCCTTCCATGTGATTGACAGATTGAATTCTTTCTGCACCATTATAACTAAAATCAAAACTAGAAAATGCTGAAGGGTTTTCTTGGCAATACTTCTGAAACAAATTGCTATTTGGAGTTAAATTTGTGGATGATAGTTGGGGGAAATCTGAAGAATGGTTAGAACCTTTCGAAGCTGCACTTAAATGACTATTTAATTTCATTAAGTTACCTTGATTTCGATAAGGAATAGGAATGTTATTTTTTGTGTGGACATTCATCCAAGTTGGCCTATTTATACTGATACCTCCTGAAGATGTTGCTGAGTTTGACAATAAATTCACTGATTTAAAATACTCAGAATTGGGGGGGTCAGCTTTAGCAAACTGTTGCTTTTCTGTGACATTAGCAAAATCACTATTAGCTGAACAAACTGTATGAGGTTTTAGTCCATATTCTGATTTTAAGCCAAAATCAGCAGTGAATGCTGCTTCCTTTGCAAACTGTTTTTCTGTCAGGTGTGATGTAGTTTTTGGAAATGTGAAATTCTGCTGGTCAGACATTGTCTCTTCCATCTTTTTCTGATTTGCTGGCTTAACCTGAAATAACTTCGTGTAGGTGTCTGCTTCTACAGCTGGTGTTTCAGGTGTGCCATTGGCTAATTTTTTGCTGTCTTGGACACTAAAATTTGAACACTTATTAAGCTTAGCCTTATTAGAATGAGCATATTCTGAGTATCTACAATAATCTGCATTTTCATTGTATCTATTAAACTGGGAAAGAAATATCTCTGCCCTTTTTTGCTGTAATGGTGCTTCAAGACTTTTAACACACATTTTCTCTCTTCCATAAGGGTAAGTATCAAGTCCTGATTCTTTCATGACGTCAGACAGGCCAGCTTGTGATGTAAAACAGTTTTTGACAAATGGATATTCTTGGAATGTCTTAGCTGTATCATTTGTCTGAATATTGAAACAGTTAGAATGATCACTTCGTGAGGGGTACATCCATTGTTCTTCAAGGTCTAAACCAGTAAATCCATGATAAAGTTCATCTATTTTTTGTTGTGGTGTAAGATTACTATTATGCAGGTATTGCTTTTCCACTGCTGACACAGATTCACCACTATAAAAAGCTTGCTGAGAGATGGCTGTATCTATTGGCCTTTTGGTTTCTGTTAACAGGTCATGGTGATCTGCAAATCTGCTTGTGTTCATTGGCCAAACTGACTTTAAATTGGAGGAGCAGGTCCTAGAACAAGTAAATATATTTAATTACATTTTAGGTTTTAAAACATTTTATGTCCTCAGTGGAGAAGGTAGGAAAGGTTTTCAAAAACATTTATCTCGCCCCACCCTCACCATTCTCTAATCCTTTTCAACTTTGTCTTATAAGCTACCATTACATTCAGATAATTCTGTCTCTAGAATTGTGCTATATGCTATATAAATATGTATTTTACTCTTAATATGTCTTCACTATACTTTTTCAAGAGGCATTAACTAAAGCCTGAGGCTGATGACTGCATGGTCTTACATAATATTTTATCTATATAGTAAGCAGAAAGCAAAGTTAAAATTTTCCTTTACTTAGGTTATTACATAATACAAAAGTGTTGTTGACCATGACTTCTTCAATGAAAAAAGATGTGTTTTGTTGAAACTGTTATTGAAATTAAAATATTTGGTTACATGTGTGCTGCATACTTCTCTATTTATGAAATAGGACATTTGGGTATTATGGTTTTCACACCCAAATAAAACAATTAATGTATATTTTTAAAAATTTTACCAAATGAATAAAATCCATATGGATTTCTGCACAGCAGAAATGCTAGTTTTATTCTTTGGGATATATGTATAAAAACTCCTTGGACTTTATACTCTCTAAGCCAAACTTTATCTCATGAACTCAAGGGAAATAGCTCTGAATTATGCAAGAATAATCTTCCAAATGAAAGTTCTTAATAGCAAATTAAATCTTAGACGGAAACTTCCAATTGTATGCAAGGACCTCAGCAAAATCAAGGCTCCTAAAAACAAGTATTTGAATTAAGATGTCTACTATGAGATGACCCTCTATTAAATAAAAATAAAAGTTAATAAACAGGATAATCTAGTATACATGGTGGGGCAAAAGTAGGTTTACAGCTGTTTACATGGAAAATAATACAATAATTAATAAATACTAACAGAAGAATAAACTGTGTTTTGTGTACTCATAACTATAAACCTACTTTTGTGCCACCCTATGTGTGAATTTAAAAGCTTACTGTATATACTATATAGCTTATATGATATACTAACCCTTCAGCAAAATATGGCTGTGACTTATCTTGTTCTTCCAAAATGTTAGATACAAGTCCATATAAGTCTGTTTCACTGCCATAGTCATTTCTTTCTGTTTGAATCCTAAAAATAAATGATTATCACATGAAAATTATTTTACATTGAACTGCAATATATTGATTTCTATTTCCAGATTTATTCTACCATTATTTTCTATAAAATATTTGGATTAAATCTATACCATAATTTCAAATAAAGAAGGAACAAGAACTCAAGAATAATTTCTACTTACCTTACCATCTATGTTATGTAAATATTTTTCCTGCACCTCAAATCCTAGTTCACAATGTATGCTTACCTATTATTTCTCCAAAACATATGCTATTCATTTTAGGTGACCAAAATATAAATCTCTGACCTATGATGCTTGGTACCATAGCTGATCCTGAAAGCATATCCAATCCTATTATACATCCTTCCATCAACACTTGCTCAGATTTTTCATTTGTGATTTGAAAACCATATGAACCTGTTGCTCAATTTTTGTGTCTCTTTATACTAAATGTTAGATTAGAAAATAAAATGTGATATGGTCATCCTAGATACCACAGCAATATTGCAGTTGTCCCTTAAATGTAGCAGACTTGGGGGCTATCCTTAAATCCTTGCCAAAGAGGTGATTTGAGTTCCATGTACCTGATATTCTACCAGGTGACTAACACTGTCTAAATAATACAAAATGTAGAAACCGTAAGTAGATGGAAAATTGGTGCCCTTTTACCTCCTATGGATTTTGGGTAATTTGTTCCTAGAATACGTTGTTTTAAATTGTAACTTCTTGTTTTCTCATATTTTGTTTCTAACATTTAATAGTGTTAGGACATTTTAGAAATAAAAATATCTTGTATATGCATAACACTCATTTGAAATATTAAGAGACTTGTATTTTGCAAGGATATATGATTTACCAAACTTTTTTTGCTAAACAAATGGTCTTTCTCCACTACATTATGCTACTTCACAAATATTTAATATAAAGTTTTTTATATAATAAGGTATTAGTATATATCTAAAAAATATTCAGTGGGATATATACTAAACTATTAATTGTTATTGGGAGGTGGGAAGGCAGGGTTAAGGTGCGTTTCTGCTTTATATATTTTTGTTAAGTATTTTTGTAATGAATACATAGTAAGTTAACATTTTTTATAGAATTATATATTACATTATCTTTCTAATAAAATCACTATTTTATAGAGAATTTACCAAAAATTTTAAAATTTAAAATTTTTTTTAATAAGATTTAAAAAATAATTATTTTCTGCTTAAAATGTATCAGCTTCTATCAACTGCTCCCTTATATGTAATTAAAATAAAGGAAGATGTCACTCCCCTAGGCTTCTCTTTGCAATAGGCTCCCATAATATCCTATACTTACTCTTTTCAACCTTACTTTACTTGCAGTGCCTGGCAAGTCATCATCATCATCAGTATTGTAAACTATAAAGGCAGGGATAATATTTGCCATGTTAATGCTAATATCCCCACTAGGAGAGAATCTGGCATCGAGTAGGCCCTTATTTGTGGAATTGCATAGAAAATTAAGCCCTGGTCAGGTATCTCAGTGGTTGGAGCATTGTCCCATAAACCAAAAGGTTTCGGGTTCGATCCCCAGTCAGGGTTCATTGGTAGGCAACCAATTGATGATTCTCTCTCACATCAATGTTTCTCTATCTTCTTTCCTCTCTCTCTCAAATCAATAAACATATCCTCCTGTGAGGATAAAAAAAGTATATTTAATAAAAATCCTGTTTATTGAGTACTTGTGAAGGAAAAAAAATCACTGAAAATTTAGAATTGGATGAAAAAACATCTAAAAATTGTAACTCATTTATATATCTTTCAAAAGAGGAACTTAACATTTATTCACTAAAGGTTTCCTCTAATGAATAAAAACCAGCAATAAGCTAAAAATTATATACACGTAACTGCCCAGTTTAGGGTTTCCTAAAAGTTTGATAAACGTAAAATTATGCCATAACAAAAATTAATATGCCAATACAGGGAACAGAGCTAATACAACTGGGTTCCCATGTAATCAAACTTAAAAACACTTTGTTTAGCCTGAGAAATATAACTTATTAATTTACCTGTTCTTTACATTAATTTGAGAATTAGAAGGCTGCTTAATATCATCTCCATAAGTAGACCATGGTGCATAGAAAAGTGAAGAATCTACAGAACTTGCATATTCTGTTGATGAAGAAAGTGGAGTATAGGTCTGCCTTAGGTCAACATTGTCTTCACTCTGAAATTTTAAAGAAATGCTTGTGTATCAGACACATCAAAACTACATTTATTACAGAATAGTGGTATAATAAGAAGTAGGAGGAAATAACACAGGTGTAAGAGTTGGGAGACAAAATCAAATCTAGACTTAGCCATTTAAGCTTAATTTACACTAGGGATTGGCTATTTTCTTCTGTAAAGAGCCAGATAATAAATACTAGGGTTTGTTCACTGTCAAGGTCTCTGTTGAAAGCAACCATAGATAGCCCTGGCCAGTGTGGTTCAGTGGTTAGAGCATCAGCCTAGGGTGTGCGGGTTTGATTCCCAGTCAAGAGCAAGTATCTGAGTTTGCAGGTTCGATCCTGGGGTGATCTATCTGTCTCCCCTCCTCCTCCCGTCACTTCCACTCTCTCTAAAAGTCAGCTGGAAAAAACAAATATCCTCAGGTGAGGGTTAACAAAAAATAAAAAAATTAAAAAATCATAGATATCCAACATGGAAACAAATGGATGTAACTGTATTCTAATAATAATAAAAAATTATGCCCTAGTCAGTTTGGCTCTGTGGTTAAGAGCATCGGCCTGCAGACTGAAGTGTCCCAGGTTGAATTCTGGCCAAGGGCATGTACCTCGGTTGCAGTCTCAATCCCTAGCCCCAGTCGAGGTGTGTGTGGGAGGCAATCAATCAATGTGTCTCTCTCACATCAATGTTTCTCTTCTCTCTCTCTCCCTTCCACTCTCTCTGAAAAGCCATAGAAAAAATATCCTCAGGTGAGGATTAAAAATATATACATATACAAAAACAGGCACTTGGCAGATCTAATCGAACCCCGGGAGTACTTGTTGTTTATACCTAGTATAAAACACCTATAATTATTGAAGTTTTAATTTTTTGAACAGATGAGCATAATGTGGACACTAGCAATGTTCTTTTTCAGAACTCATTTACAAAACTCAGTCTTAATGCTCCCAATCTGTTAAAAAAAAGTTAATGTACATTTAGATAGAATTTCAAACAAATTCCATATACATTATTGCAGTCAGTCAACCCTGTGATATAGGTATTCTATTAAAATAGAAAAATGAGAAAACTGAGGCTACAAGTTACTGAGCCCAAGGTGACAAAACTAAAACCCAAACCCTTCTTACTCCTACTCTAAGGCATTTTAAAACAGTATCTTTAATTTTCAGTCTCCTTTTTATTTTTGAGAGATATTGTAAAAATGAGATGATATATAAAATGTTATGATCTCTTCAGAAAATTTCAAGATATTACTACAATTAGGAGAAAAATACCAGTTAATTTTTCTTGTGAACACTTCTATAATGAAGTTTGAGTAAATAGGTGAAAGTTTGAATTTTAAGGTTTTAATGATTTAAAATCCTGTCTCCTTCGAAAAAGGACTGAGAAGTAAAAATAATTTAAAATACCTGAAATAGAATGAACTTAATAATAAATAAAAGATCAAACATTTAGATGCATTTTATTCTAGGAAATGCTTTTTTAAAGAAGTCTGAAAGTATAGGTTCACAATTTTTAACTCTCCAAATACGGAACTACTAAAACCTGAGATGTAATGACTACAAATATCCAGGTACAACACAGTAGAAATGATTATTTTCTTATAAAAGCTGGGGTAGATGTAGGTTTATAGTTGTGACTATGTGAAACACAGAGTTTATTCTTGTGTTATTATTTATTAATCCTACTTTTGCCCCACACTGTACTTATAAATACAGAATAATATGATCATGACTAAAAAAAATTTCTAATTGCTTTTATTTTCTTAATCAAAATTTACATTGGCCTGGCTGGTGTGGCTCAGTTGGTTGAGCATGTCCCATGCATCAAGAGGTCACCAGTTTGATACCCAGTCACAGGGCACATGCCTGGGTTTCGGGCCTGGTTTCGGGCCTGATCCCCAGTAGGGGGCGTGCAGGAGGCAGCTGATTGTCCTCTCTCATCAATGTTTCTCTCTCCCTCTCCCTTCCTCTCTCTTTCTAAAATTAATAACATATTTTTTTTTAATTTACATAAAAAGAGAAGACATATTTAGATTAAACTATCCTATATTCCTAAATTTTTGTTCTTATAGACATAAACATACAATATTGAGTTTATACTTTAGTAATAAAATATGAAAATACCTTCCAATCAGCTATCTTCAAGAATCTCAAATATTTTACAGCCATTTTGCTAAGAGTGCCACTAAAAACTATCTTTCTAGATGTTAGTAACTTTTATAAATACTTTTGTCTTTAGAACCTTTCATAATTTTATTCCTTTAGTTCTGAAGTTTTTATCATAGGCCCACCTCAACTCTCTTTTAGCTGTGAAGTATCCAAAGTGACATAAATAATTGTTCATCTTTTTTTTAATCCTCACCTGAGGAGTGAGGATATTTTTTCCATTGATTTTTAGAGAATGGAAGGGAGGGGGGAGGGAAGAGAGAGAAAAAGAGAGAGATCGATATGAGACACACACATCCATTAGTTGCCCCCCCCCCACCCCTACTGGAGCGGGGAATCAAACCTGCAACCCAGGTATGTGCCCTTGACTGGGAATCGAACCCAAGACCGTCTGGCACTTAGGCCGACACTAACCAATGAGCCATGTTGCTAGGGCTGTTCATCTTTTTTAAATAGCTGCTTAAACAAAAGGAGCATTTTCAGATTATGCAATATCAAATGAGATACAGAGTACTGGAAACTAAATATATTTTGGGAACATTCTTTCAAGTATATTTCACATTTTAAAATAAGTTTTGAGTATTAGAAAAATTAAATCATTTTAAGATTGATTTAAATTTTATATTCCAGGATAAAACAAGCAACTAAAGTAATGTGGTGAATTCAAACATAATTATAATTTAAATATCTGGATCCTTTCCAGTTAAAACATTTACAGAAATTAAAAATGCAAATACTTGCGGTTGGCATATTAATTAGGTCTAGGTAACTGCAAGATTTACCACTTATATCCTTGATATACTTAAAACAACTAAAAATAAATTCAAGTAAATTTTAGTAGTGATGCAAACATTATAGAGATTGGTGGAATGCTGGTCTTAGCAGTGAAAAGACCTGGGTTCCACTTGGGCTTTGTCATTGAGGGTACAAATCAAGCTTTCTGAGCCTCAGCTTCTCAATCTATGTGGTGGGCACAATATAAGGCTATAGTGTGGATTAAATAATTTATTTCAGGATATTGTTCTAATTCAAAGTATAACAATATCAACATTGGTGTCCTGGTTAAATAATTTCAAATAAAAATGACTTACATTATCCTTAGACCAATTTAATATGACTAACAAAATCAGGTGAGGTAAAAGGTAGTATATAATGTAGGACATTGTTAAAGCCAGAGAATAAAGGAGTGACAAAAATTTCACCTTTAAATTATCAAAAGTACGTTTGTACGGATTTACAATAAAGCTTGAAGGAAAAAATATGTTAAGGTCTTACTAAGTAAATAATGGATTTTCTTACATTTCTGACATCATTGAAGACAAGATGAAAACAACAATCAGTTAAAAATCTTATTCCTTAACTTGTTTTCAAAGTATGTATTCTGCAAACTCTGTATTTAAAATGTTACAGTTTTCTGGTCTTAAACTTGGAGCAATTGAAACACCTACGTGAATCGGCTCAGGGAAATGAATCTGATTAGAATAAATCCTCTAACAGAGGGCAGAATTGATTAATGCACCTGCGCTTTGTAGCAATCATAGAAGGAAGAGGAGCCGGCCATCACGGTGCTGAACACATCCGTTAGTCTGCCGCTGGCGTCGGCGCTGAGGTTCCAGCAGCGATTCGCACCTCCGCGGAACGCCACCTTGGGCTGCACGAGCAGGAATAGGAAACCAGGGAGAGACATCATGCCGTGCGAAGCCACGGCTGAAATGGCTCCTATTGTTCGCCTCGACCGTTCCCCTAACTTAATTCCGAATCCCCGCTGAGGACACTAATTTGGGGCCCAGGCTAGAGTCCCTGGGATTTCCTCCTAGTCCTCTGGCCGTCTGTGGGCCTACCCTAAGGCGCCGCAGTCGCCTGCCCCGACTGGCCTACACCGCCGGACACCGCCTCAGCGCCCCCTTGGCCCGACGTGGAGGCGGCAGCGGCAGCCCGGGCGTCGCGACCCCCCAGCCAGTCAGTCCTGTCAGCTGCGCCGCGAATCCCCAGCCCAGGCTCGACCTGTCGCCGCACCCCCGTCCCGTCCCTGAGGCGAGGCCCGAGCGCGCCGTCGAGGCTCCTCGCCAGCGACCTGCCCTCTCCCACCCGGCAGGGACCTCCTCAGAGAACCGCGTCTACGGACGCACCGGCTCCTCAGCCCCTTCTCACCGTCGCCATCCTCCAAGTCCAGCCGCCACCCAGACCCCGACCGTCCCTACCGGTTACCTCAGGTCCCTCCCTCAGGCCTGGGGGGTGAGGGAGCTGCCAGGAATGTCCGCCTCTCACCTCCATGGGCCCCCCAGCCCCTCTGGGACTCGGTACAGCTCCTGGGGCACCGGGGTGAGGGGGCGCGTCGAGGCCCGGCTCCCTGGGCCCGCACCCCGCCTCTGTCGCCGCCGCCGCCCCGGGCGCTGCCTGGAGCGGGTCTGTGGTTCGGGGGGTCGGAGCCGGGAAGGAGGGTCCGGGGGAGAGGCCGTT